CCTTGTCCATGGCGATCTCCACAGTCGAGAGTCTGATGACATCATGTATGCCAAGACCTTTCCATTCTTGGCCGAAGAATTTTTCCATTCGGTCAACCTAGGCCGCCCAATTTGCATTTGTTGTGGGCCATGCTCCTTGAGGTCTTGTTAGGTCTCATTTCGACCAGTCAAATCCTTGTAGTAAAGGGGCCAAACAGTGAGCCTTAAAGAGTGCGGTGATGGACGATGGTACTGCATCTTTGAAGAGTGGCCCCAGGATTTGATGAGTGGTGCTCAAATCACTCTCAAAGTGTAGGGTCTTGATGGAGCTCCAATCAATGAAATCCTTGCACTTATTGCACTCGTCGGAAAGTTGGGAAATAAAGGAAGCCATCGTTGAAGATTTGAGTGTTTTGGGGTTTGAAAGAATAACTTCTGGTTTAAAAGTTTTGGTTTTCTGGGATTTTGAAAGCAAAATGGTGAGAAGATTTTCAAAGGTTTCTGGAAGCATGAAATGCAAGTGGAAGAGACTTAGATATTAATAGGCATTTCGAGAGGAAGGTCAAACGTTTAATGATCTAAAGCATTTGATTTTCAAATTTTAGGGCAAAATCGATTGGGAAATCACCAATCATTTCAGATATCTTAGAAATCTCGAAGATAGGATCGAGGTTTTCTTGGTTTGAGGAACCACGATTGCGTGTTACAGCATGCATTGATGTGGAAGAGACGTTTTGGTTGGCGCACATTTTCAAGGGTCATGATTATGAGCTGCTACGTTAATTGAAGGATTGACACGTGACAAAATGTGCAGGGGGATTCAGATCGTGCAATCGTGCGTTATAAATGCGCTCAACGGTTGGATGTGTGAGGCTTTTCATTATCTCGTAGTTATCTTCTGGGGATCGCTTCTTCAAGGCCAAAAATCGGCTAAAGGGCTCTAGGCAGAAGACCTCAGAAGCAGGAGGGCAATGTTTGGGCCCAAAATAATATTTTGGACCAAGCTTAGGCTCAGCCCAAAGCTTTTCCAAATATATTATGGGTTGCCTGATGGCCCCAGGCTGTTCAGAAAAGGTGGTCGAGTCCTATTACAAGAAGGAGTAGTTCGAATGAACGGATGGGTTGAAGAAGTCCCAATACGATAAGGAAGCCTAGTGCAATACGGATTCTCGACCAACAATGAATACGGCCTTAAAAGGGGGGTGAGTTCAAAGTCCTAATAAGAATAGGATTAGTCGAGATAAAATTGGAACAAGAAGTCCCAGTCTGAATATGGTTTCAACTTGATCTTGAGGAGGTTTTGTTGCTATAAATAGATAGCAGAATGCATCATTCAGGGCTGCTCCAATTCAACACACAATTGCCCTGCGTAAACCTCTCAAACATCTTGAGAATTTTTATTTTTGTTTTCCGCCAACACATCTTCAGTTTGGATAAATAGCACTATGAAGGCAACCGGTGACATCTTCAGTTTAGATAAACAGTATTGTTACCGTAGAATCAGCCGTTCCCGGAACATCTTCAATTTGGATAAACGGCACTATGTCGAGGCCGACTGGTTATCTATCCAAGTCTCGGTCAAGACGGGTTTTTGAATCCTTATTGGCAGATGTCATCTTATTAGCCTTCTTGGCGAAGTAAGGTGTTACGAGTTATGACATTCGACACATTGAACGCCGAGTGATTTTATGATTGGATATTCACAAGTAAGTTTTAGAGTTCGGCATTCTGACGGCTGAACCACATTTACCATTAAGATACACATTACCTTTGAGTACTTGTGTCCATATAGTCTGGTGTCGATTCGACGTGCTTATACTCTCACGAATATAATCACTATGACCGAATCTGGCGCTGACGATTCGTGAACTTCGCATAACTAGCAGCCTTGTCTTCATGCTCAAGAATCCAAAGGTCGAGACTTATTCCTTCCTCAGCCGCAATCGCAAGATAAAGAAGTCAGCAACGCGCTCAACGCAACATCAACAAATTGTACCCCTCGGCCAGGCTCGGCCGACTAGTTGGCACGCCCCACATCAACCGAATGACGTAGTTGGCTTATTAGTTACTCGGCCTGCGCGCTACGTAGGCTTTGTAATTTTTAGGGTCAACAGTTGTATAAAGTTGCAATTAATCCCATACTTGAATGGGTAAAATATAATTCACCCTTATAAATAGCAAAATTATATATAAAAATGATCATTTTGTATTGATGATCGGGTCACATAAAATGATCGTCGATAAAGTGGCCACCGTCGCACAGACATGATAAAGTGGACACACATCCAGCCGACTCGTTTAAACTGGGCATATGACAAAGTAGGAGCGTATACAATGTGGAGGTTTTGTGCAGGGGTAAGATGCATAGTGTGATCGAGCAACTTGAATGATATAAACCACGATATTAGTATTAAATATCAACGTTATACTCAGTAAGAGAGTCAAGATTTACATAAAGAAAGATCTTGTACATTGGACCCGATGTCGCATCATCGAATCATAAAACTTAGCCGTTGGATGGCTCTAAAATTAAAGAGATTTTCTTGGCATTATTACTGATTTTACTCAGTGATATCATAAAAATATCTTTAGGTTTGAAGATAGAAGCAAAGTTTGGAAAAGTTATCTTGTGAGCGAAGGGCAAGGTTGTGGGGGTCTTTGGACTCTGTTGCAAATAGCCAAGTCATCGGTTGGACTCGTGGGCCGTGGCATATTGCTCAGCCTATGTAAAAGGGATTGCGTAGCTGGCAACTTGCCAACCCCATGCAGTTAACATGTGCAGCAAGGAGGATTTTTAAATGAAGGCTTGACGTGGAACATTGCTATCCTCAAGTGGACATAGCATCTAGTCAATTGCATATTTGAATGAGTTTGCATGCAGAATCACAAGGGTAAGTAGCACAAGTAGCTAGGCAACATGGGATGATCAACGTATGGATAAAAATGGGATATGCCATTCTTATATATTAGAAATATTAATTGACAGATGTGTAATGTTTTCGGAAGAAGAGTTTTGGTTTATCATCAAAAGATGATCTGGTGATCCACGAGGACTCTACATCACGTCCAAGTGCATATTCAATTTCTATAAATAGAAGTGGTTTAGAAAGACTTCAACTTAACACATAAATACTTTGCGCGAAATTTCACTTTATGCAAATCGTTTTTATTCTCTGAGGAACCACTAACTCTCCTACCTAAATTAATTCAAATTGAAGGTATTTTTCGATCGCCTGAATCTACTCTCCTACCTAAATTAATCCAAATTGAAGGTATTTTTCGATTGTCCGAATCTATGGCTCTAGTGCTGTTAATCCAAACTAAAAATATCATCGGTTGTCAGCCCCTCAACAAAGTGAGGTGTTACTGGGTTACTTAGTGAGCATATTGAAAACTAAACTTTTATTGAACTTCGCAGAACTAGCAAACTTATCTTCAGGTTATAGGACCCAAGGCCAAGAAGTGAAGTCAGCAACACATTTGACACCACCACCACATCAATTTTACTCACCGACTGAGTCATGCATGACATTCACCAGAAAAACGTAGTTAGCTTATTAGTCACCAAGTCATTTACACTTTTTTGTTGGTGATCATGAAAATATTAGAAAAATCACATTTTCGTAAGAGATTAACATTTCTATCCATTTTAACTATAGTTGTCCTCAACTTGCATAAAGCTTTAGTTCATCCTCATTCCTTCTCGATAAGGAGAAACACATCTTAAGATTTTACTGTGAAAATAGATATGAAAATGAATGAAACAGTAAACAAATGAAAAAAAGGTTAGGGTTTTATAGAATATTTTTGTGTAATCTCATGCATAAGATGTTTTGTAGACTGTGGAAAAGAACGAGCCTAATATATTGATAATCTATTTTAATACAAATATTATGATCCATATGGACTAACCTAGCTAAATCCATATAGTACATATATCCAACAACAAAAAAGCTAAAGATGTCCAAACTGATGTATATGCTGCTTAATTAAATGTAGTGTTTCATTGTAAAACCAACACGGGCCTGAGACCATCCTGATCCCTTTGTAACGGTTATACTAACAATATATTTACCCACCAGTAAGTACTTATCAACAACATTTTCTAAATATGGGCACTTATGCCAACATTGTTGACACTTCAAGCTCTTTAAAAGAAATCTTATATATAGCAACCTGATAGATTTCTTGATCCACAATTTGTCTTTTTATTTGTGTAAGCTCAACCAGTCGAGCACAAACAATGTTTCTCCACTCATCACGAAGATTAAGGCTTCGAAGCATCCAAGGCCTCCTACTTATTTTTATTTGAAACAAATAGTGGGCCTGCATTTTTTGAGACTGATCTAACTGCTGATGAATATCATTGTGCATCTAATATAGCATGTGCATTTAGCCATGTGTACTAGAGAAAAACGCATAAATGTAATGTACTTGATCTAAGCCACTTTCCGCTCTGTATCGTAGTCTTGTTTCGTATTTATATGCAGACTATGCCGGTGATCGTAATTATCATAAGTTCACAAAATCTTCATATGCACTTACGATGTCCTGGTTTATGGTGTGGTAATAGCAACGTCATCTCTCTTACCTCCGATCCCCTGTTTTAAGCACCCACGTCGCACTTGACATGTTGAAGTTGACTACCATTACATCTATGAGAAGGTGTGTCCGGCCATATTGCTCCTGATGGACCAGCTCGCTAATATCCTTTTACCAAGGGTATCTCCGATTTTTGGTTTTGTTATCTTCTCTCCAATTTTCCCATTCAAGCACAACCGTTCAGCTTGCGAGGGCATGATAAACCTGTTGAGACTCAATCTCCTCTATTATTTTATCTTAGGGGATATTATACATGTGTGTAACTCTTGTGGTCATTGTTATAAAGATTAATACAATTACGCCTCAGATTCATTGTGGTGAATTTATATTGAATGGAACAAATAATACATGAATATTTCTCTTATTGTAGTCACTTTCCAGCTACTAGGAAATGACCAACCACCTGATGGAAACGTATATGCATCTTAGTTTCTTTTAGCTATAGTTCCAATTCTCAATCTGTAAAACTTGTTCACCAGTAGCATCCAAATTCCGCTCGACTGACTAATTTTTGATAACTTACTTTCGAGAAAACTCCAACATCCAGAGTCTTTTTCTCTGCAATAAATAAGTTCTTCAAATTCCATAAACTAGTCAAATAGGTTGCCTATGTGGTCTATGTTGTTTACTAGTTCTATGTGACCTTCAGTTAGGCCAAAACTGCATCTGCATTACGAGGTAAATCCAGTCGAGTCCATTTTGTGCGTAGCGTAACCACCAAAAGTAGGGCGGTTTGGCATGAAAGACCGCAGATTAAACCAATCCACAACCCCTGCACCAGAAAAAATTAAGCACAAAATGTGAACTGAGTTAAATAAACTAAACAGATCAACTACTAGCTAGCTGCTTGTTCCACTTCTGTGTTCAGCTAAAGGTTTTGGTAATATTAGTACTGAGTGTGCAAATGCCTCAACTTTTTTAGAAACCCAAGGATTTAATCCTGTGGGTGTGTGAAATTAAGCTATAAGGTTAATGGTCTCACCTTAGCATATAGTTTCAACTTAAATGCAAGAACACTTGCAACTGTCATGCCAACCAAATAGAATGTTCCCAAGTTTACATACACAGCCAAGTGCTGCCACCCACATCCTCTGGCCACTCCTGAAATACAAAAATTCGCACTCATGGATACTTGAGAAATAGAAGGGAAAGAGAATAAGCTCAAATGCAAAGTAGCAGATTGACAACCTCATAACAGAAATGAGAATGATGATTCGAACCTGATAAGACGCCTTGCACAGAATCAGCAATTATTGAAACTGCAAGCAATGGTGTCATGGAAGCAAATAGTTTTATTATTACACTGCTGTTGCTGAAGGAGCCGGCCCATAAATTGTGACCAAATGCCAGTGCCAGAACAACAACTAGAGCGAGAAGTATAGAAAGCTTAAGAGTCACAGCCATTGCATTCTTTGCTTTCTCAGGATTGCCTGCTCCCAATTCATTTGACACCCTTGTGCTACACACAAAATTAAAGTAATATTGGATGCAATGTGTTGCAGAATTGAAAAACTTGAAGAGATAACTTGGAATTTATTGTTCTACCAACCTTGCAGCAGCACTGAGGCCATATGTAATCATGTATGCAATTGCTTCTGTATTCACGCTGAAGATATGATTAGATTTAGGAAAAATCTCCTTGAGTCGAGTGAAAAATTATAAGTTTAGAGCTAGCAGAATGCTTACCAGATTGCAATTAGGGAAGTGTTTTGTTCTGCGTTTGGCATCACTCCTGCCATGAACACCAGAATCTCGAAGGCCCAATACTCTAAACTGGAAAGACAAAAAAGTTGAAGACTTGCAAATTCTATCTCATACACTCAGAGAGTAAGAAAAACTGAAGAACACTTACCATACCATTGCTGCAGAGGGTAGAGCAAGTTTCAAGTTGGAGAGGACATAATGAAATGATTCTAATGAAAACCCTTCCCACGTAACCTCAAACTTCTTTGCGCACAAAACATACGTGGCCAACATTAGCATCGATATCCATATTGAAATCGAAGCTGCCAGCGGAGCTCCCACATAACCAAGACCTGTCCAATGTACCAGACTATATGCAATTCCAACATGAAGAACCACTGGGATCACCGAGAAGTAGACCAGTGGCATGACAACAGATTGCGTCTGAAGAAATCTCAAAATGTTGTGCAGGAAGCCATATGCAAACAATCCAGGGATAAGAAATTTCATATAAAGCGCTGCATATTTTGAAATTTGAGGGTCTTGATGAACTAAGATAAGTATTGGCTCTGTATAGAACCAGACTACGGATACAGCGATAGAGGACAGGAATGAAATGATGCAAGAGGCTTGTAGATAAATCCCCAGCATTCTATATAACTTTGCGCCGAATCCTTGCCCACACAACGTTTCTAGAGCTCCACTTGATCCAACCTAAACCAAGAAATAATAATAGACAATAAAACAGTTCAAAGAGAGGCCTGCAATCTATTAATTAGCACTGTTCTTTGCCTTTCTAAAGTACAAAAAAAAGAAGAACGTTTGATTTAGAAAAATTGAAAGACAAAAGCAAGTGAATTGAAAAAGCCATGTAAGTCTCGATATACTACCCTAAGCACAAAGAAATTTGGTTACAAACTTTTAATCAAAAATAAAATTGGGTGATGGTAAACAAACAATAAGCCACGTATGAAACTTCCATTTTAATGCTTATTTATTGTTTTTTCATGTCTCCACTCATATTCTTTATTAAAAGTTTCTGACCGGTTCTATTTGCGTTTTTTTTTTATTACTGTTCTGTTGGTTTTCCTAATAGTACATACATGGGAGGACATGATATAAGAGAGAGAGAGAGAGAGAGAGAGAGAGAGAGAGGGAGGGAAAGGATCACCTTACCATGAAAGCGAAGCCGGTGACGGTGGCCCAAGAATTTGCAAGGGTTGCACCGGCAAGCTGAAGCTCACCGAGATGGCCGGCAAACATGACAGAAATCAGAGGGATCATGTAAAAGAAAACGTTGGTCAGAATCATCGGCAACGAAAACAACACCTGGTTTTTTGCCTCCTCTAAGTCCAGCACCTTGTTCCACCACCCCTCTTCGTGATCACCTGCGTCTTCGTGGTCACCTGCGTCCAACAACGGGGTCGTATTGTTAGTGTTTGCTACCATGTCTCCGTTCTCCATTGTTGTCTTGTCCTGCTTTTGTTGTCTTCTTCTGCTGTGCAATATCAATATGTTATATGTCGTCTGTTTCTAATTAAGATATGGCATGTGGTGTGTGGGAAGAAAGAGAGTACATATATAAATAAAATAATTCTCAATTCCATATATAAATAAGTGTACAGGTCCACATGCCATATTTAATAAGAAAATTATACCAAGACCCAATAATCCAGTGGCAAATGATGATTTACAAGACTTTCTTAAAATTAAAAATTGAAGGTCTCGAGTTTGAAATCCGTCTTTGGTGTGAACGCCAAACTATACAATATCAATATGTCGTCTGTTTCTAATTAAGATATGGCATCTGTGCAATATCAATATGCCCCTTTGTCTTTGGGTGGAGACTATGAACAGTATGAGATCAACAAAGGAAAATATTTCTCTAACTTAGGATGTGCTTGCTAAGCAATTGCAAGGAAGAAGAGATACAATATATATGCATTTAGGGTGCCGGCTAAGAAATTGACAGGGATGAAGGATCCAATGATATAAGACATGCATCTAGGGTTTCATTTGGAAGAAGAGATATGATATATATGCATTTAGGGTGCCGGCTAAGAAATTGGCAAGGATGAAGGATCCAATGATATAAGACATGCATCTAGGGTTTCATTTTACTTTTTAATGTTTTAATATAATTTGTTTATTTTGATTTTGTTTTAACATTTATTTATTAAAAAAATTATTTTTAACTAATTAACTACAAGGGTAATTTTTTCCTTAAGGGGTGGATGTGAAAGTGAATTAAAACGTCAAGGAGTGTGAGTGTAATGTTTCAAATCTGAGGGGATTTTGTGAAAAAACAATAAACCTGAAGGGGTTTTAGTGTAATTAACCCGAAGAAAGAGAGTACATATATAAATAAAATAATTGACAATTCCATATATAAATAAGTGTACAGGTCCACATACCATATTTAATAAGAAAATTATACTAAGACCCAATAATCCAGTGGTAAAGGACGGTTTACGAAACTTTCTTAAAACTAAAAACTGGAGGTCTTGGGTTCGAAATCTGCCTTTGGTGTGGAAGCCAAACTTGTGGCTAGAGAGAGGCTAAAATGCCTTTGTGAGTCTTCTTAGCTTCCGAAAAAGGTGGATAACCATTACTTGTCATCAGTTGTTCTTTTTTTTTTTAAAGAAAAAAAAAACCCCATGAGAGTAATTATATAGTAAAAATAAAATATTAGAGAAAACATGAAAGAAAGTGCATATTTTCACCATCCCACATTAACTCCAAGTCTGCAACTAGAATTGTAAAAAGTTCAAGAATTGCAATCCAAATATGTGCAGTGTAAAATCCTACCTGAACACACCAAAATTGTCATGTTTATGTTATCATTCATGCGACTCGTTTGCACTTTTACTGGTGATCATGAAAATATTAGAAAAATCACATTTTCGTACCACATTTTTCGGGATAATATGAATTTTATTAATCAAACACCAACTAAGTTACTCATGAAATCACATTGGTAGACCCATTGTGACGACCCGTCCCTAATTTTTCTATATAATTTCTCCCCAAGTATGTGAATTGACATTTATGCCCTTGTTGTCAAGTGACGTGGACGTGTTTGTTTGTTCTGAAATTATATTTTTTTTCTCGCTATCGTAATTAAATAGTATTTGTTGATACGATTGCGTGAGCGCAAGTTTGACCCGAATCGGGTTCGCAACAAAAAAGTTATGTCTCGTTAAAATACATAATCGACAGGTAGAATTGTACACACGAGTGTGCTAATTTATCAATGTTAGAAACAGTGTTTTGGATCGATTTTTTGAGCACTTTTTACTGTTTAAATCTAAAAATCCTATCCTTTTCTTCTTTAAAATAGAGACTGTGACTTGTTGTTCACCCACCAATCAAATATGTCCCTCACACCCCTCACCCAATTAGCTTTCCCTTTCTCCTTCTTTTTGGGACCAATCAGAAACCTTTCTCTCTCTCATCATCCTATAACTCTTTCCTCTCTGCAACTACAAGGACATTCACAACCACTCACAGATCGAGTCCAAAAACACCACCATCGTGATCCTCTTGTCCTCACGATCACAACCATACCAATCGATTCTCTAATGGTTGAGTTTTGAGTGGTCAACACAGAGCGACTCGAAAGCTCCGACTCGGTTGAGTTGGTGTCATCATGATCCCAGCCAAATTACAAGGTTTTAAGATGTGGGGAAGCTCTTACTCAACTCCTCGTGCCCATTAGACTAGTTTTGGAGAAGCATTGATGTTGAAACAGGCACGTTCAAGGAGTTGAGCTTTTGGCCCAGACTTATAAGCCATTTTCAAGCCATTTCTAGTCCACTTTTGGACTTTTGGAAGGTACAACTTTGTTCTACTCTTCACAAGCTTCATTTCCATATAAATTTCGTGAAAAATGGTTGAGAAATGAGCAAGATATTAAGGTTTGAAATTTTACCCAGAAACTGGCGAAGATTTCCAGTTTCCAGCGAGTTCAGACGGCGGCGGATGGTGACGATTGGTGACAACCCATCGAAGAAGACAACGAATATTCCATCAGACTTGACGGAATATTCTAATGGCATCAGGTAACGCCGTTAACGTCCATTAACTGTTTAACGGAATATTCTGTCAAGTCTGACGGAATATTCATGGATTCTGTCAGCTTCTGTTGTGCACATGTCTGCGCGTGTAGTCATGGGTTGGGTGGCACATAAGGGCACGTTCGACCTCCGGCAGACGAGTGGTTTTTACGTACGGGTTCATGACATCAAGTAGAACATTTTCGTATATTCAAACCTTCTGTTTGAGCAACCTATGGGGAGTTATTCCTAGTTTTAGTGTATGTCCTTATTAACTAATTTAATTTCGTTGTTTCGCATATAGGGGAGACTTACTCCGAGGACAAGCGAGACTAGGAAGCTATGATCCTACGACATACCAGTAAGTGGGCATTTTCTTTTCATATATATATGTTGTATAGTTTCCACAAATGCTTTTAAGTTATGCATGTTATTCCACATTTTACTTACTTTTAAAATAATGCCATGGTGGTAAAGATTTATACTTGATCATGACATATTCATATGCATTTTACCTGCTCATAAATATTACGCTATTGTGTAATGCCAAGTCATTCTACGGGACGCGCAGGTAAGTTCAGGTGAGTTTATTGTGTTGTTTGGAATGATTGAATTGTATGGCATGCTCATATTCATATAGTTCACTCATCATTGTTGCACCGGTGTTAGTTCTCGCCCCGAGCCAGGGTCAGTCCTCCACGTGATGTTCACCTCACACCCTACGCTCGCCTTGGATCCAAGTAGGTGCTAGTCCTGTCGTACAGGTCGTATTAGGTGACTCCGACTCGTAGGTGATGCGCATAGCACTAGTCTTCACGTGATTGTAGTACTATAGCGTATATTATTACACCTATTATTGTCGTACATGTCACATTAGATGACTCTGACTCGTGTGTTAGCATAAATGGATGAGCAATGGGTGCAGTCGTAAGGGTCCCATTAGGTGACTCCGACTACGTGCTAATATAGATTGCTGAGCACATGATTTTATTCATATTGCCGTTGAGATATTTTATTGTGGCATAATTCTAGATTTATTGTCGGCATGCATTTGATTTCATACTTATACTTACTATGATTTTAGAGAAACTATACTTGTTTTACAGTAAGGGGTTAGTATGTTTAGAAAATAAATGGATTTTATAAACCTTTTATTTTTGTGCCCATTCACCCTTCTATTTTTCGCCCCTCCAGGTCCTAGATTGCTAACCTACTTGTGGCATTCGAGGATTACCCGGCGATTTTGACATATTCCCATTCTTATTGTAAGAGCTTATCTTTAGTTGTGTATTAAGTACATCCCTAATTCGACTGCTTTACCCTTATGTTATCTATGCTCTGAATATTTGTAGTTATGGGTCGTAACCACTACTGCGCACTCACCTTATTAGTTAATTAAGTTCTAGTTCTGGTTTTAATTTATTCACATTTTTCTTACATCACCAGCACTTTTGGTTACGTCACCTTCACGTGACAACCAATACGCCTTGATTCCAATCGGGGCATGTCATGTTAGTTTATAAGTGTATATGCTGAAATGTTACAAGAACTTAGAATAGTCCAAGTGTGCAGCTAAGATGTAATCGTAGAGTAAGTGATAGTTTATGCCATGTGTCATTACCTTATAGGGTAGATGAAAGAAGTGCTAGATTTGAATGATGTATTGAAGGAATATTCTATTCCCAATGGTTACATGTGCACTGTGTGCATGTGAATGAAATGAATCATCTCATTTTGCTTCTTCTTAAAAGCTCTAGCTCTTTCTCTCTCTAAAACTTTTTATCTCTCTTTTAAATCTTTAATCTCCAACTCCATTGATTGTTGATTTGAAGCTTACATACAAGATAACAGTCTATATGCTAACATGGCCTCAGAGCCAGGTTCAATCAACTAATATTGGGCATTTGGATCTATGAAGGAGTTACTAAGAAACTCGAAATTGAGCTCGAGTTGATTGTGATATGAGTCTAACATGGCAGGATCAGGTAGTAGTGAGGTGAGAGCATCGATTTTCAACGGTGATAACTATGAGTTCTGGAGTATTAAGATGAAGACCATTTTCAAATCTCACAGGTTGTGGGATTTGGTTGAGAAGGGGTAAAGGGTGATGATGAATCTGATGGAAAGAAGAAAAAAAAAAAAAAGGATCAAGCAGCATTGAGAAGATAACTCTTACAGAGAGACTGATGAAGGATGCTAAAGCTCTGGGTTTGTTTCAGGGAGCTGTTTTAGACGATATATTTCCCATAATTTCTCATGAAGAAACCTCAAAAGGCGCATGAGACATTCTGCAACAAGAATACCATGGTGATAAACACGTTAGAAGTGTTAAATTGCAAGGTCTTCGTAGGGAGTTTGAATATACAAGAATGAAAGATGATGAATCACTTTCTGCTTATCTTACAAAATTGTTTGATTTTATAAATCAAATACGGAGCTATGGAGAGGAATTATCTCGAGAGAGGGTTGTTCAAAAGTTGTTAATTAGTTTGCCATCAGCTTATGACTCTATATGTTCTGTTATTGAGCATTCGAAGGACTTGGATGTGATTGAGGTTCAAGAAGTAGTAGCCTCTTTGAAGAGTTTTGAGTTAAGGCTACATAGGCATTCTAAAAACAAAACCGAGAGAGCATTTGCTAGTCTTAGTGTGAATCCCAAACCAGTTAAGTTCACTGGAAATCAAAATGGTAAGTACCAAAAGAATTGGAAGGCAAAAGGCAAAAAGTGGGATAACATACCCACTGATGGTGCTAGAAATCCTTGCTAGCATTGTGACAAATTGCATTTCGGTGAATGTCAATTCAAAGGCAAACTAAAGTGTTACAACTATGACAAGTTTGGTCATCTTGCAAGGGACTGCAATAGCAAGAAACCAGTGCAACAACTCAATTATGCCACTCAGGTCGAATCTACACCAACTATGTTTTATGCTAGTAATCAAACTAATACTAGTGTAAAAGGATGTGATGATGTATGGTATGTAGATAGTGGGTGTAGTAATCATATGATGGGTAGGGAGGATCTGCTTGTTGATATTGACAAAGATGTGATTGCAAAGGTTGAAATGGGTATTGGACAACTTGTTGAAGTGACTGGTAAAGGGAGTCTTGTGGTTGAAACTAAAATAAGGAAAAGATACATCAATGAGGTTATGTTTGTGCCTGGATTGAAAGAAAATTTGCTTAGTGTGGGACAAATGATGGAGCATGGCTATTACTTGGTGTTTGGAGATCACAAGGTGGAAATCTATGATGACAGTTCATATTCCAACATGGTTGCCAAAGTACCGATGAAGGGAAATCGAAGCTTTCCAATGAAATTGTAGTCTGGAATACATATTGCTTTTAAGGCAAGTGTATGTCACTCTACTACTATGTGGCACAGAAGATTGGGACACTTGAACATGAGCAATTTGAAGTTAATACAGGAACAAGAAATGGTGGTAGGGTTACCAGAAATCAAAGCAATTAAAAGAGTACGTGAAGGCTGTGTTCTTGGTAAACAATGTAGAAAGGATGGGAATAGATATTTTCTCACCTTCATAGATGAGAAAATATCAATTCCTCTAGAGCTTATACACAGTGACATCTGTGGTCCACTGCAAACAATTACAAAGGCTGGGAATAGATATTTTCTCACCTTCATAGATGATTACACAAGGATGTGTTGGGTTTATTTTTTAAGACACAAGTCTGAAGTTCTTAGTGTGTTTAAAAGATTCAAAGCTAATATGGAGTTGCAGAGTGGTTATAAATTGAAGAAGCTTAGAAGTGATCAAGGAGGAGAGTACACTTCTATGGAGTTCAACAAATTCTGTGAAGATGTAGGCATGGAAAGAAAACTCACCACTCCATATACACCACATCAAAATGGTGTGGTAGAGAAAAAGAACAAAACCATTGTGGAAATGGCTAAGTGTCTCATGTTGGAGAAGAAGATTCCACTTGAATTTTGGGCTTAGGCAATTAAAACCTCTGTGTATATCCTGAATAGATGTCCAACCAAAGTTTTGAATAAGAAAACACCCTTTGAAGCTTACAGTGGTAGCAAACCAGGAATTAAGCATCTAAAGGTGTTTGGTTCATTGTGTTATGCTCATGTGCCAACTCAACAGAGATAGAAATTGGATTTGGCAAGCAAGATGTGTATTTTCTTGGGGTATAACAGTTGTGAGAAGGGATGTAGACTATATAACATTGAATATGGGAAAATGATTGTTTCCAGAGATGTTGTATTCGATGAAGATGCATGTTGGGATTGGAATGCACAAAAGGAAAAAAGTGTGAGTATTCAAATTACTGAAGTGCTAGAAGGAGAACAAGGGTATGAAAGGAGTTCTTATGATTCTGAAGCACAATGTGAAGTAAGTGAAGATAGTGAAGTGCCAAGCTCAAGCACTGAAATCTGTGATATAGGAAGGATGACAAGTCCATAGGATATTGATCATACTCTTCTCAAGTACAAAAGTATTGCAGAAGTGTATGAGAAGTGCAATCTGTGCATTATAAAACCAGAAAATTTTGAAGAAGCTGCCAATGATGAATCATGGCATAAGGCTATGGAAAATGAAATTACCATGATTGAGAAGAACAACACTTAGGAGCTGGTTGTTAGACCATTTGATAAACCAATTATTGGAGTCAAATGGGTCTATAAGACAAAATTGAATCTGGATGGATTTGTGCAGAAAAACAAAGCAAGGTTGGTTGCAAAGGGTTATTCTTAGAAGCTTGGAATAGACTTTAATAAAACCTTTGCTCTAATAGTAAGACTTGACACTGTAAGAACCTTGGTGGCCCTAGCTGCACAGAAAGGTTGAAAGTTATTTCAGTTAGATGTAAAGTCAGTATTTCTAAATGAGTGTTGAATGAGGAGGTGTATGTAAACCAACCATCTGGTTTTGTGATACAAGGTAAGGAAGATAAAGTGTACAGGCTTAGAAAAGCTTTATATGGTCTGAAGCAAGCTCCAAGAGCTTGGTATGAAAAAATAAACTCTTATTTTACAAAGGCTATATTCTATAGAAGTCCAACTGAAGCTACACTGTATACCAAGACATCTCACAATGGCATTATCATTGTGTCACTCTATTTAGATGACATTATCTACACTGGAAGCTCAAGGGAAATGATGATTGAGTTTAAAAATGAGATGATGAGACAGTATGAGATGACTGATTTAGGGTTGCTTCACCATTTTCTTGGTCTTGGAGTATTGCAGATAGATACCTGCATTTTCTTGCACCAGAAGAAATATGCAAAGACTTTGCTTGAGAAGTTTGGACTCAGAGATTGCAAACCTGTTACAACACCCTTAGCTGTGAATGAAAGAATTTCAAAGGTAGATGGGAGTGAACTGGCAGATGAGACTTTGTATAGGCAAATGGTAGGCAGTTTACTATATTTAACAATAACTCGGCCAGATATTATGTTTGCAGCTAGCTTATTGGCTAGGTTCATGCATTATCTTACTAAGAAGCATATGGGAACAACTACAAGAGTCTTGAGATACATACAAGGCACTTTGAACTATGACATTGTCTATGAAAAAGGAAAATGAGCAGTATTGATTGGTTATTGTGATAGTGACAGGAGTGGAAGTGAAGATGACATGAGGAGCACATCAGGTTATGCTTTTAATTTCGGTTCAGGAGTGTTTTCATGGGCCTTAATCAAGCAAAGTAATGTAGCTCTCTCAACTGCAGAGGCAGAATACATCAGTGCAACAGAAGCCACTCCACAAGCCATTTGGCTAAGATTTGTACTCTCTGATTTTGGAGAAGAGCAAGCAGAACCAACTCAGTTGCTGTGTGATAACACTTCAGCTATAGCCATATCAAAGAATCCAGTTCATCATCACAAAACCAGACATATGAATCGAAGATTTCATTTCATCCAAGATGCACTTGAAGATGGTGAGATTGATCTACTACACTGCAAGACTGAAGAACAGATTGCAAATATCTTCACCAAAGCTTTAGCAAGGGATTGATTTGAATTTCTGAGGAAAGCTCTAGAAGTGATTTCAGCACAACACTTAGAAGGGAGTGTTAGTTTATAAGTGTATATGCTGAAATGTTATAAGAACTTAGAATAAAACTCAATTTAAATGTCAGCCCTTGGATCATAGTCCAAGTGTGCAGCTAAGATGTAATCTTAGGGTAAGTGATAGTTTATGCCATGTGTCATTACCTTATAGGATAAATGAATTAAGGGCTAAATTTGAATGATGTATTGAAGGAACATTTTATTCCCAATGGTTACATGTGCACTGTGTGCATGTGAATGAAATGAATCATCTCATTTTGCTTCTTCTTAAAAGCTCTAGCTCTTTCTCTCTCTAAAACTTTTTCTCTCTCTTTTAAATCTTTAATCTCTGGCTCCATTGATTGTTGATTTGAAGCTTACATACAAGATAACAGTCTGTATGCTAACATGTCACTCATTCTAATTGAAGTATCCTTTGCCTTTCTAATTGAAGGACTCTTTTTCGATAAGAAAACAATTCAATATAGAAACGTATCCTTTGCCTTTGTAAACTTATATTCTCCCATTAAAATAATGGAAATTTGACTAGAGAGAGTGTTGATATTTTTATATAGTGGTTGAGATCAATTTTGCTTCCATCACTTATTCGTTTGTTATTTTTTTTATTATAGGTACTGAATTCTGTTTCTCCTCTGCATACATTTATGTTTCTTTCACTTAATTATGCTTTGATTTATTTAAACAAAAAAACTCATTAACAATCTGATCAAGTAATATTGTTTTAAGTTTGTCCAACTTTAATTTGTAGATGGTGAATTTGATACCTAATTACAGTTGGTTCAATATGTGACTTAATGCAAATCCCTCTCGATATTGTTGTAATAAAGATACCAAATAAGGAGGGCTTAATCACTGTTTTTACTGATACAATGGATTTTATACTCTTTCCAGATCCATTTAAAACCCAGCTGGTTCATAGACCAGCCATAATAGCAGGTATCCAACTCGTCATTAACGGAGTCGAACATGAGAGCTCTCTATTAATTTGGTTATAAGGCAGGGACTGTTTGAATTTGGTTATTATTTTACATCATTGTGGAATCTGCATATTCTGCATTAAACCAAAGAATTATTTAGTTCATGTACACTGTTATAAGCAAATTATAATCACTCTGAACAATCTTTAGAAACAGATCTGGTGATCCGTTAATCAGGTTAGATATAGTATTGATGATAGTGATAACCGTGACTTTGACACGGAGCTGGAGCTTCTACTACGATGAATGCGCTAATTATGCAAGTACTTATTGCCTTAAGCCTTAAATCTGCAATAATTTGAAAGAAAACATGTATAATTGAAAGCACCAGAGAGTACTACTGGAAATTTGCTTTGAAACCCCATCTCTCAAATATTACAACAAAATGCAGCATCCCACATTAGAATCGGAACACGAAAATGCATGCAAGCTTATTAGCATATCAAACTCATTCATGGTCGTACACACTTAATATAAATCGAACTTGAAGAACTAAAGAAGGGTTTAACAATCAACAATCAAAATACATGTTTGATAGGCATATATGATCTGATGTTGTAGGTAGCTGCATTGTTGTCATTCTTTCTTCTCTTCCTTGGACTCAACCTTCTTCTCTTCTTTTGCTTCAACCTTCTTCTCTTCCTTGGCCACTTCCGTTGCCGCCGCCTTCACCCTCGCTTTGCCCTTCTTCGGCTTCATGAAGCAGAAACAAGAACAGCATGGACACTGGAACAAGAACTTCATAGCTTTTCTTTCACCTAATAATTCTCTGCTCTCAAATTTTCCTCAGAACTTTATGTGTAGCAAAAGTACTTGAGCTTTGCCTTGCATTTCTATCTCCTTTCTTATCTAATTATTAAACCTGTGGGGTTTGCAGAAATTAAAAAAATAAAAAAGAGGAGAAAATACAACAGTTGGATTCCACTTCTATCACTCTCAAGCGGCAATAAAGGTGATGTCTGCCTAATAATGCCAGCTTCGGAATGGGACTGGGGCTAGGGCTCAGTGAGTCAGTGGGGCTCGCCAAATAGCCATGATCACCAAATGAAGGTAATTCTTCAAAAAAAAAAAATGTTTGCAATTTTCTTATACCTTTTTATTTTACTTTCTCGAATCTCTTTTTCATCTTGTAATATTGCACGACGATTTGAACCGTCTATTTTTTAAGACGTTCTTTAAAATACATATATGCAAGAGTTTAACTAAATTCAATAAATAGACAAATTATGTTTCTCACTGCAACACTGAAATTTTGACAACTTTATTTGAACAATTAAACGATTTCATTTGGTTGGTTATTTGCATAATTGATTTTGTAGTTGTAGCCTAGAAATCATAACAGTTCGAATTATCAAATAACATTGCAGAATAAAAAAGGAATGAAAATAGTTAAACGAAAAAATGCAAGTGAAAAAGTTAGTAACATTCCCCTTCTATGAAAAGGCTTTCCCTTGTGGGGTCATGATGTACCATACATAATGAGCAAGAGCAACTAACTCTTGTTTTCTTTTTCACACACTAAGTGATACCTGAGCCCAGTCCATCAGTGAGCTGGCAAGCACTAAATGCAAACATGTTTTACATCACTAATTATTTGCTAATGTTAATCAACAACTAATGATGTTTGACAAACAAATAATGCAAGCTAGCCTATAGCCATAGCGTTATCATATTTTGTTCGACAATATCGCCCATTTGGCTCCACTGCTTCCAGGTAAAAAGTGAGGGATTCATGTGAGTTTCAACCTACTTGGGGAAAGAACTATTCTCCATTGGTGTTAGAGCATAATGAATCCAAAGTTGAACTACGGGTGCATGAGTAAATGCGATTAACCATTTCAGTTACAAGTTTCGTGCGATTTGCAACAACAACAACAATGTACTGACGGATTTTACCTTCTTTTGCAGTACATTGTCGAGTTAAAATAGAGTGCACATTACCTATCATTGTTACTTTTACACTTCACAAAAAGTTCAAAACAATTAAAACAAACGAGAAGCAAAATTCAGTAATCCAGGGAATTACATGCGGTTTATGTTTTGATTGAAAAAATAAGGTACTACTTTTCAATCATTATTAGAAAAATGTAAAACAATCCACAACTACTGTATAGATGATGGCAGTAAGCGGAGAGATCTGGATCTTTTTCACCAAAGCCATCGGATCAAGTAATTTGGACCTTCAAAATTTCAACCAACAGCCAAATATTATCACAGCTTTTAAGAGGTCAAAACAGGTGGGCCGTTAAATGAAATTTGAAAGGCCCGGATCATTTGATCTGGTGGCCTTGGTGGAAGAGATCCGGAGATGATCTCTTTCTGCAGTAAGCTATCCTCGAAACGCCACAGGTTCAAAGTTTAGATGAAGGTTTTACTGATTCAGGCGTTTGACGGTAGTCGTATACCCCAATACCTCGTTTTCTTCCAAGGCGACCTGCATCAACGTACTGTACAAGAATGGGGCACGGAGCATATTTATTGTCCCCGAGGCCAACATGAAGAACTCTCAGAATAGATAAGCAGATATCCAATCCAATAAAATCTGCAAGCTCAAGAGGACCCATTGGATGGTTTGTTCCCAGCTTCATTCCTGCATCAATGTCTTCTTTTGTCGCCACACCTGTGTAAAGTGCATAAAATGCTTCATTTATCATCGGCATTAGGATCCTGTTCACAACAAACCCAGCATAATCTCGAGAGCATATTACGGTCTTGCCAAACCTGCAAAATCAACAGTCAACAGTTAAAGAAATGGCAGAGGATTTATTTGGGCATATGAGTGGGAAATGTAACTTTGTATAATTGTGAAAGGAATACGCCGGGAAACAAAAGGAAGATTTCATTCATTAAGCAATTCAACGTATCCAAGCCATTAACCTCTCTGCCAAGGCTTTTGTGACATCAAATGTCTCATCTGATGTGTCTGCTCCTCGCACAATCTCAACAAGTTTCATTAAAGGAGGAGGATTCATAAAATGCATGCCAATCACCTGCAGATCACAGTGTTAATTTGACACAATCAGATTCCTAACGTCACGTATTTTGGTTGATAGTTAATCAACACGAGAAATTAGAAAACAAAGAACTAAAAAGAACAAAACTTTCACAACTTGTTCTCATTTCAAACATCATTCTCTGAACATATAATAAGCATAATCTCAGAATAAGAAGAAGAAGCATAACCTGGTGTGGTCTGCTAGTTGCTGATGCAAGACGAGTAATGGAGATGGAACTTGTATTAGAAGCCAGTATGGCCGAACGTTTTGCAATCTTATCTAGTTGAAGAAATAACTTTTTCTTCACATCTTCAGATTCCACAATAGCTTCAATAATAATATCTGCCGAACAAAGATTTTCAACATTTGAGGTACATTGTAGACGCTCTAAAGCATCTTTTCTTACATCCTGTTAAAAGGAAAACAAATTTTTTGTCAAAACATCAATAATTGAACAGGCATAACTTGCATGAATCCACAACCCAGGAGGAAACAGGGTACAGAAACCAACGAAACCTTAAACAAGAAGAAAATTTATGTTCTCACATTTTATCAATTCTGAGTTTGGAAGGAGATGGGTGTAAACCCTCCAACTCCGATTAGGGAAATAACCTCTAATTAATATAATGGAAACTTTGAATTTTCCCCCCAAAATGGTTCCAATTAGTGGTTTTTACTTTGAATTAGTAGTGTGCCAAGAGCTTTCCAAGCTCAACTGCATAAATTTGCCGTCATCACCATCTTAGTTTTACCTCAAAGATAAATACTAAGATATCCTTTCCAAGTGGCTATGCAGGATGTAGTGTACCATTAAAATATAAAGGTATCTCAAAAGAAAAACCATTCTCGTGGTACGGCCCTCCATTGCGAGTGTATTCATGTTAACATGTGTATGGTTTCCTTTAATTCTATACATGTATTGTGAGCAAAATATTGAATGTAACCATAGTTTTTCTTCACCAATAACTCCGTAAGTCTGTCGTAAAACTAAAGCTTAAGAGCAGCTGGAATTATACTGCTAAGAAGCAGTTCCAAGCATATATAATCTACTTTGTTAAAGCCCTGAAAAGGGCAAGTAGGGTTTCTACAAAGTTACATAAAACAAAGATTGATTGGCTTGAAGAAGGCAGCACCATCAACCGGTAAACGAGATGAAATTAATGATCAATGAGAAGAAATCACCAAATATAGCATGTTACAAACTTTAAATTCAAGGTTAATTCATAATTGGAAAAGGCTCAAACAACCAGAAGCAGTGGTGAATATAATACCAAATTACCATTTTAACTCAAACAAACTCTACTCATGCGGCGCAAGACTGAAAATCTTAAGTTGTGTTGCACCCTCATTAACCAGAACTACAATTCTCACCACACATTAATCAGAACAATAGTACAACAAGCCATAGTAAGCACAGTAAAGTCTACATCGAGCCACCACACAAACGACGACGGCGGGCATCAAAGGAACTCCTTAGAGTGCATCCCAACAACCTCCACCAACCCCACCAACTATTAAATTTAATCACTCAATTAGCTTGCAACTAGAGTTCGTTTAATGCATATGATTATCCAGTTTTCAACAAAGTACAAATATCCACATCAACATAAAGAACCAAAAAATTCAATCTTTTTGTTCCATTTTCTTCCCTCTTATCATATTTATTGCTAACCAAATTAGAAAGTAGAGAGAGAGAGAGAGAGAGAGAGAGAGAGAGAGAGAGAGAGAGAGAGCAACCTGGCTGAGCTGCCCTTTGGAAACTAGGCGCTGGATGGAGCTAGAGATGGACTTGGTGGCTCTTGAGAGAGCGTCCGGGTCGGTGTCAAGGAGCCAAACGTCAAAGCCATACGTGGCGGCCAGTTGGGCTATTCCTGAGCCCATTTGGCCGCTGCCCACCACTCCGATTGTCTTAAATTTCTTGATCTCCGCCATGAACTCAACGCTGAACTCTCTGCAATGTCACTGCGCCGTACAAATGGGTTCGACAGGGGACGAGTGGATAGGCCTTGCGGTGTCCCTCACGCGCTGGATAAGTGCGTGCTAGTAGTATCTTTCTTGTTGGTCTCATAGTCAAACACTCGATTGTAAAACGGGTTGTCCAGACGGAACAAAGCCCTAATATCTGGGCCTTGGGCCTTCACACCTAGTCTTATTTTTTGTGTTTACTTTTCAAATTTTGACTGACAAAAATTATTTTTTAAGAAACTTTAGGATAATTATATTAATTTATCTAAATTAAGAAAAAAAAAGAAATTCAAACTTGGGTAAAGATAGTGAAACACACTGTTTTAGCCAAACTTGAGTGCATATAGTGAAACACATTGTTTTAGCTAAACTTGGATGCAGATGGTAAAACACACAACTTTATATTTTTCCAACCGGTATTTTTTTATTTTTTTTTGTAAAGGGCTTGTAGTAAAAGCCTTAAAGTCATCTCCAATAGAGAGGGTTAAAAGTGCAAAGCTAAAAAAAATACTTGATTTATTGAAAAATTCATTTCCAACCCGATGACTGGGCTATAATTCTATGGAGCCCAATAGATTATTATTTGGCCAAAGGGCATCAAGTTGACCAAATCTAGCCCTTCTCTTAGACCTTTTTGGGGGGTTAGCTTCTCAGTTATAATAAATAATTCAAATTCAACGGCTACATTTGAAAACATCCTATAGTAGTTTAATTAAGTTAACCAATAAATTTAAGGGAATTTTAATGAAAATCTCCCGATACTGTTCACTTTAACGAAAAACCACATTTTTACATTAAAAAATCAATCATGGTACTATTCATTTTACCCTTTATTTTATCCTTATTGTTAAAATTCAAAGTTTTTAAGCTCTTTTCATTAGTTTTCCTTAAATTTAAAGTATAAACTTAAAACTAATAAAAATATATTTTTGCAAGGCTATAATCCTGGACGAGATTATATTTAGACCTTTCAATTGGAGAAGGTCTAAGAGTACTTATTTATGCCCTTGAGATCCTATATTCTATTTCTCCTCCCCAGTATGATTAAAAATCTAATTTTTCATGTGTTTAATGAGAACAAAATTGTGACATGAATGACTAATGACGAAACTTTTGAGGAACATTTCAGTCAAAGCAAATGGGTTCCAAGCTTCCAACACATTTCATCCATTTTCATTACCTTATTACCAGCTTTGAAGGGTATACCATGCATATTCGAAAACCTAATTTCTTCATAGAGATAGTGACAATCAAATAGCAACAAAGAAGAAGAGTGCGAACGAGAATATCAATTACTCGGTGACGGGATGTTACTAAGAAGAAGACTTTTTTTGAAAACCCTAAACTTTGAAGAAATTATGAATTCAAATATTATAAACGATAATGACAAAACACAACGCTCAACTTCAAAAGCAAGTGGGCACTCAACTCAATTACTCAACCCACTGGCCAAATGGCAGGCAAAAATAAATATTAACAAAAAGGTAGTGTTATTCATATATATATTTTTTTATCTTTCACATTGTTAATTTTTGTCTTTTAATCATTTTCATTTCATTCGATTTAAATGTCAAAAATTAAAATGTGTATAAAAAATAAAAATTAGTGTATGGATAACATCATCATGATAAAAGAAGACATGCATGCAGATTGAAAGTGTGTTAACCTTTTCCATCCCACTACTTGAAGGGCAAATCACATCAATAAGCTATCATGATGTTTTCTATCGTGGGAAAATGTCATCAATTTAAGGATGAATCCTTGAATTGTGTAAGCTTTTACTTGTGAGTTGCGAGGCTTAATCATCAAGACTTACCAAAAGTTATGAACACATCAACACAAGGAGAAAAAAAATTTGTAAATTGCCAAAATAACATAATGAATCTTTCACCCATGTCAACTTACAACTTTACTAGCTATAGCTTTTACCAACCGTGCCCCAAAAATATTGAAAAAATCTATGACTTTCATCGACATGTTCGGATAAAGAACGGACTAGTGATTTGTAATCAACTTGGGTTGAACGTTAAGTCAAATTTTAGTAGTTGAAAGATTTTTTGTCAATTTTTAGCAGAGTTTTTTTTTTTCTTTAATTCAGCAGTCAAATTCAGGTTTGTTTGAAAGTACTTTAGAAATGACCAAAAATTGTTTTGAAAAAAATGTTTTTGGGTCTCAAATGCACTTGAAGTGCTTTCTTTTTAGAAGAAGCGCCGAGTATGCACTTCTTTCAAGAAGCATTTCAAGTGTTTTTCCAGAATTTACTTGTTTTTTTTTACTAAGAATTGGTTCTAAAAATATTTTCACCAAGAACGCTTTTATTTATTTTAAAATTACTTTCAAGCAAGCATTTCTAAACAAGCTATTCATTAGTGGTTAGATATTCTCTGTAGTATCTTGTATGATATTTTACATTTCTTTAGTTATATGTTATATATTGCAATCAAAACTTGAACTACTTTAAACATGACCCTACGTTTGTATTAGGTAAAATTTGAATTGCATACTTCAACCCCATGATTGTTTACAAGAAGAAACATGTTTTGACATAAGTTGTTATTACATACCTAACAAAGAAAACAAGCATCAAGGTGTCATATATAATTGTATTGGTTTTAGTTTTTGGATCAAGTTCTTTTCAACTAAACGCACACCTTTTGATGTATTTGTTGAATTACTTGTGACATGATGTGATTGATATTACACGTACCTCGCTTACTAATTCATGATAGGATCACAAAACGAAAATTTATTTATCAAATCACACTATTTAGATATTTTCTTTGTTTATTTGAGGTTGAGTAATAATTTTTTTTTAAAGTTTAAACTAAGAAATTGTTGAATATTATATGAACTTATATATTTATTTAATTTGTTATATGAATTCAAAATTTTAAACAATTTGTTATACTAGCTTTTCAGAATTATTAATTTATCATCTCATCTTAACTCTGTTAAGTTTTCTATTCAAAATAAGTAATGTATCTTGCACATAACTAGTATTCAGGGTTATTTTAAACATTTCATCATAAAGAATATCATCCAACTTTACCATAAATTAAAGGGTAACCAGTGACAATATTTTGAGTCATCTTCACTTCGAAACATAGATAAATGAGTACAGGTCGTTCCCCCTTTTCAAACAGAGAACTCTCAAATCATCGTATACCAGATCAACCATTCTTTTGTATTTTTTTAGAAGCCCTATAATTATTTGTCGAAGAAAACTTATTAAAAAGGAAGTGAGTGTTGAAATGATCAAAATAACCCTGAAAATAAGTCATGTGCAACTTATTTTGGATGGAAAATTTTAAAAAGTTAGAGTGAGATGACAAATTATTGATTTCGAAAAGTTAGTATGACAAATAACTTAAAATTTTAGTTTATATAACAAATTAAAACAGGTATATAACCTATGACATTTTTCAAAATTTTTCCCTAATTTTATACAAGGGTGGAGGAAAGATAGTGTGAGAGATGTAGAAGGAGAAAGACACAAAAAGGGTTGTGGATGAATGATAGTTTTTATTTCTTTTCCTCCGTCTTACTGTCTTTCTTTATCCCTCTTACCGTTTTTCATAAATGAATTATCAGAATTCAAGTACTAAATTATCTTGTGAACGTAACATTTAGTTGACGTATATGCTCTCGAATTTGCTCACATGTAGTGCATGCAATGAATCAAAAGAAATATTTTGATCATTACGTGAATATATTGACATGAATCGAAAATTTAAACTCCTCAAAACTAAATAAAAAATCAGATGGCAAAACCAAACAAAACCCAAACAAAGAATTTGGGTTTTAATTTCTTTAAAAATAAATTTGTAAAAATAGGAAGTAGAAAAATAAAACATGTGTTGGGTAATTTCACGTGCGGGAAAGGTTGAGTAGTTGACCCGAAAATCCGGTGGCCCAGGCAAAAACTTGACATATTTCCGGATCGCGGCTAATCCGTTAAACCTAAACCCGTGACGTCCGCCTACCGCCGCTCCATCCACCCCTCCCATCTACCCTCCTCCGATCTAATCACCTTGACTCTCCACTCTCACCGCTCTCATCCACCACTCTCAACTACAACGCGTGTATACCACGCAGCACAATCCTCCCACACCTTGTCACAGACAAAACTAATGAAAGTGCTTCCAACGCAAGTCAAGCGAGCGTGAAACTGAGAGTAGGGATCCCCTTAGACTGCACCCAAACATTGCCCAACCTCACCAAACCGGGCCCCACCACCAAACAAAGAGGGAAGGAAAGAGACAGATGTTGGTATTGGGGTATTGACAAAGAGTGTGATTTTAGCAAACTTCGAAAACATCCAAGAAAATTTGGCCATGAGAAAAAAAAAAAGTCAGCTCCTTGAGAAATGAGTCCAATGAGTCCCCCGTTTCAAATCTAAAATATACGATTTTTTAGAATATCTTGATACAGTCACGTAGCGTTACTTATTTTCAATACATATAAAAGTTTAAAAAGAAATTATCCATGTTGTACACTTTTATTATGATATATGAAATAATGTAGTACATATAATACTTAGGCATCACTAGTGAATATTCTAGGTACTCATTTTTTAATTTGGCTCAAACAGAAAATGTCACGTGTTCTTTATTTTGTTAAGTGCAAGAAAATCTAATTACATGTTTATTTTTTTTTAAATCATAAAAACATGTGTTACAATATCATCGAATAAAATTAAAAGGTGAATATTCACTATTGAGTACCTAAGTCTTATCCATAATTACGTATATAATATTAATATACTATTTTATGTAATAAGTGAAATACATAATCCACTTTTAATAAAATAAAGTCATTAATTAATATGACATACACATATTACTTTTTACATTAAACGGTGCACAAATGTACTACAGAAATGTAAATCCTTACATTTGAGAAAATCCGCTTGACATTTCTCTTTCCCTAATCAAAACCCCCCAGAGCGTTTTTTGTGTTTGTCCAATAAAATAAAGATTCTCAGGATA